CGATCATCCCCCTTGCGCGGACTGAGGCTTCTCCACCCCGCACAACATGATCCACTCGACCACCATTATGATTATCGCCAAAAAGAAAAACAGAGGTAAAAAAAGGAAACGGTAACCTGGTTGCCGAGTTCACGAAGTGAATTGGCTTGATTTACAACGTCGTTGCCAAGCGACGAAAACCCAACCCCGATGGCAAACACCGGGGGGCGGGGGGAAGGTCAGAATTGCACAGTTCTGCAAAATAACTGCCGTATTTCGGCTTCTGGCATGTACACCTGTCGGATGAGCCTACATAATATCGACTCCTTCGGTCTACCGAGATGTATGCAGCATTAAAGGTTGTGCGGCATTCCCCGATGTGTTCGTGCCTTTCTACCACGCACCCCAGGAGGTCTCTCGGGCTATCCTATCTACACGAAGGTATCCCACTGGAAAGTACCATAACCGAAGGCAATGGCGGAGCCACAATACGATTGGCACGAAGAAGGTCTGTTCCAGCCCATGCCTATGTTTGCATCGTCTGAGCACGAGGCAGGCGGCGTCGACAACACCGACGCCGACAAAGGACCGGCAGCCTCTTTCGGGAAAAACGCGCCAAGGTTATTGTACGGGAATACTTCTCGATTCGGCGTGTTGAAGGGGTCTATCGCCGCCAGGAAGGCTAACGTCGCAGCTGCCGCAACCGCAGCCAAAGCCCGGGGTTTCCAAGCCGAAACCTCCACCTCTGAAATTGAGCGAAATGCAACGTTAAGCAAGGACAGGAGCAGCGGAGAACTGGAAAGAGTTACCACCACTACTACCGATACCGCTACTGTCACCGTAACAGCAAGGTTTACCAACCATCTGGACGACAGCCACGCTATAGGACCTGCAGAGGAGTCCGGTGTACTCTTCAATGATACAATCACGTCAAACCATAGACACGGCGACGGGAAGCAAGCCAACCTCGAGGAGCTGGGTTCGATGGGCTCCTTCTATGAGCTTCCCAAGGTCTCCAGCGCAGCCGATCTCATTCGCACCGCTTCCCACGACAAAAGCTTCCACAGCTTGTCGCAAGCGCGGGGGCTCCGGCAAGCGAATGTCCCGACCGCATACTCCGATGTTGCAAGCACCGGGTACTACCGCCCGAGCGACCGCATAGGAAGGCTGTACACATCGACCGCGGCAGCGCTGACGTCAACTTCGGCCCAACTGGTAGCAAAGGCGGCCGCTACCCTCGCCGTTGCCGCTGGAGCCCCAGCAGGGAGCGGAAGCGGAGGGATCGGGGTTGTCGGCGGTGGCGGCGCTAGCAACAGGACTCGCAACGCCGTGGCCGGTGGTAAGCTAGTCACGGCGCCGTTCGCGGTAGAGTCCCGCAAAATCCTCCAGACTCTGGCCCTCCAGCCCGCTTCCTCGCGTGGAAAGCTCAGTGCGACCTTGTCGCTCGGGAGGTCCTCAGCAGGAGATGGACGGGGCGGAAACCAGTCTCCCTCGCCGACCGGTGGCTCCACCGCTACGGAGGCGTTCGGCTCGCCCACCAGCGGCGGTAGTGAGCGGGGAGATGACTTAGACTCGCCAGGGAAACTCAAGCCAGTCGTAATAGATTCAGCGCAGGACACTCGGACTCAGCTGAGGGAGATGCGGTCGCCTCCGCGAGGGAGACGGCTCCTCGATGCTAATCCGTCCATCAGCAGCGTGACGCCGTCTAGCGGAGGGGTGAGGGCCCGTTCGAAGGGGGGAGGGGGGTACGCGGTGAACGACTTCCGGTCGTGGAACCCGGCCGTGCTGGAAGAAGTCGGCAATAGTGGTGGCCAGGACGAGACCCCAGGTGACAAAGGAGCTGCAGGTGGCGGTAACGAAGGAGGCAAGGGTGTCGTGGCGGACGAAGCGGAGAGGCAAAAGGAGTCAATCGATCGCTATTGGGTGAACGTGGAGGACAGGATGCTAAACGGCTCGTCGAACGCCCTCGGCGCCGGGGCCAAGTCCCCCCTTCTCGAGCTTCCCCCGGAACGGGTCGATGGAATAACCTCGCGTCTAGCCTTCGAGCTTCGATTCATCCCCGGTATCGAGCTGGGTGCCTACCAGGCCTACGCAGAGGCCGCCGTCAACAGCATGCTGGAGGACGTACAGGTTGGGCACTCCGTCTCAGTGGCGAGGACCGTCGTGGACTACGAGCTGAAAGATCCCGAACGGCGGAAGGCGCTGGGTATAGAGCGCGAGCATCTCACGGCCGGCCCCAGGTGGTACCAGTGCCAGGAATACCTTATCCCGGAGTGGAGGGTGCTGCGGCAGACCGGAGTTTCCCGGGCTCGCGTGCGCCGGTCCGCCCTGCTCCTGAAGCGTAAGCTCTGCTCGGTGGAGACGGTCATGGTAGGGCTGGAAAAGCTGTGGCATTCCGGGGTGGTTCCGGGCGACTGGGACACGGCCACTTTCGGGGGTTCCAGCGATGTGGTGAGGTTGCTGAAGCTTTCTATTGTGAGGCAGAGCGCCACGTGTGACCCGCGGAGCATGCTACTTTGAAGGGCATGAAGATGGTGAAGACGGTGTGCACAGGCGTTCACCCAGTTCCGGCACATATCCTACATGGTGCATCAGATGTTACGTTTGTGCGAAGCGGGTCGCTTGCAGTACACACATTCCCACCCTTGCGTCGCGTGGACTGCGTTCGCAGTTCACGCGGAGATCCTGCGTGTGTAATCCAAGATCTGTATCTTCAGCCGTGAACAGCATCAACACACGAAAAGCAGTCGGCCTATTTCACGAATGTAGATAATGCGACCGAGTATGACATAAATTCTTGTGTGGTGATGAACTTGTATCATGCTTCTGTGTCACGTTCGCTCCGACCGCTGCCATAGGTATACGCGGACGTCCTTTTCACCGACGTCACGACGGCCACCTTCTGGTCCACGCTGCCGATGAGCCTAGACTCGTTCTGCTCGCACATGGAGAGGCGCGCCAACGAGTGCAGAGAGGCAATGCAGGAGTTCTGGCTCTCGGACGCCGCGGGTCTCGTGGGGCAATACGTGGGTCCCCTGGTTCAAGCCATCCAGGCGATGAAGGGAAAGGGGGGCGGGATGGGGGGCACAAGAGGAGCAGGAGGGTGGAACGATACTGGGCGGCACCTTGACGGCGCCGCAGTGCAGCTTCGACCGGGTTTCCGGGAAGAAGCAGGCGGCGACACCCAGGGAGGGGACGGGTTAGGAGGCGTCGATGACATAGACGCGGACGAGGAGTTCGACCAGTGGTTCGAGCAAAGTCCTGCCGTCCCGTCGAGAGAATGGGGCCCCGGTGAACGGCGCACAAGAGGGAACAGCGCCGCGTCCGAGCGCGGCAGCAGCGGGGACGACAAGGAAGAGACCCAGACGTTGATGGAGAGGAGGATGGAGTTGGAAGCGGGGCTTGCCGGCAGCGGAGACGCGGGAAGAGGCGCGGGTAGGGGAAGCGTTGGTCTACGTGGCGGCGGCGGGGGCGGGGCGGGAAACCGCCATCGGCCAGGGGGGCGAACCGGGCGAGCCCTCGACCCTTTAGCCAGATTGACAGGGATTCTCGAGTCCGTGTCCATGCTGATGTCTAGACACCTTAGGGGCACCGTGGAACGCTCGCTGGGGACGTTTGTCCACCTCTTCGAGCGCGTGAGCCACCCGCACCATTCCGGAGACGCGACGTTCGTGCTGATGCTGCACGTCAACGAAGATGCATTCGACGACATCGAAGGCCGATCTCAGGCGCGTCAAATGTGCAGAAAAACGTTCGTATATGCTTGTGTTTTGCGAACTGCTCCCGCCGCATTGAGAAAGCCGGAGTATGTGTTATTGCAGAGGAAATACTTCTATGTCGTAGCTTGTAGAAGGTTCGGCTGTCGGTGGCAGAACATTTTCACATTTTTTGTCGTAGGCGACAGAACAAGTACACGTATCATTGCAGAGTGACAATGTGTACACGCTTGTTTTAAACCACAGGGAGCAGATGCGGAGGCAAACTGCGAGGACGGCGACGGCAACGCTGCTGCTGCGAGCAGCAGGACGGTCATGACGGTTGAGCCGACCCTCGAAGAGCTCCAGGGCCACGCGTGCGCCTGCATTGACCAGATCGTCTCCGCCAGCCAGAGGTTTCCCCGAGTGGACCAGAGCCTCGTCCCTCCGCCGCCGGAATGCAGCACGAGGACCCTGGGCCCGTGCACGATGGTTCTCTCGGACGAGATAGTGGTGGACGCGAAGTCGCGCGTCCGGGCGGCGATCGCGACCCACATGGCGGCACCCCTCAGGCTGCTCAAGGAGTTCGAGCCCTTCGTGGGTCTCATGGACGGCAGCGAAGAGGGCAAGGTGCAGAAAGTTCTCCAAGAGCGCGGGCAGATGGACTCCACCCAGGCGGGTATCACCGCCCTCGAGGAGGTCGCGCTGAGGCTCAAGCACCTCGCGCTGGAAATCCGAGAGGCGGTGCCGGATCTAAACAACTACCCCATGTTCTCGGTGAAGTGCCTCGAGGCGACCGAGTCGCTGGCGAAGAAGGCGAACGCCCTCCACACGCTCATCATGGAGGAGGTGGCCTCGGACAACCGGACGCACATGGCCGCCATCGGCAAGGAGTACCAGGAGATGGTGAACCAGCTCGTGACCGAGCCGTCGGACTCGGCGGAGCTCAAGTCCCTTCAGGAGTACACTCGCAAGGCGCTAGAGAGGCTGGGAGGCCTGCTGGGCGAGTACACCAACCAGGTCTACATCCGGACGAACTTCCTCCTCGACCAAGGGTTCCGCCTGTCCCGGGACGACCTCCAGCTGTTCCACACGACCTACAACTGGCCGCACAACGTCAAAGCGTACCTGGCGAGGTCGGCCGAGCTCCAGCGCAGCCGCAAGCAGGACCTCGAGATGGTGGTGGAGGGGCAGCAGGAGCAGCTCCTCCGGGAGACCGCGGCCCTGGGCAAGAAGATCGACAAGATAGCGGAGGCCGGGTCCCTGGTGCCGGGGGACGTGCACAACTGTGTCCGGCGAATTGTCGCCGTGCAGGAGGCGCTCGACAGGGCCGAGGCCGAGGCGGACAGCATCCTCGAGCAGGAGACGCTCCTCGGCATGCCCTTGACCGACAACCTCACCCCGCTGTCAGACCTCCGGGATTCGCTAGACCCCATGGCGCGACTGTGGACGACGGCCAAGGACTACCTCGACAGCCACCACACGTGGCTAGAATCTCCCCTCCGAAACATTGATTCCGAAGCGGCGGAGCGGCAGGCGGACGACCTGATACGGGCGGCCCTGAGATCCGAGAAGGAGCTAGCGAAGGTAAGCTTTGCTTGGGATTGCGGCCTCAGCCTTGTTATAGTCACACAAGTTGGTTCCATCTGGCGTGGGCAGGTTCAACAGACATTCTGTCCTTTATGTGTATTTCTTTTTCGTCCTCAAAGCGGAGAGCGCGGAGATTTGGCCAGGTGCAAGTCTCGGACAGTCCGGCGTAATGTGGAGTGCAGCACGTTCTGGTAGATTCGGGTTTTCGACTTCTCGCCCGCCCTATACCGCCGTCTTGAAACCCTTGCAGGTCGGCACAGAACGAGCTATCCCGACTTCAGTGGCAACGGCCCTGTCCAAGGAGATCAAAGACTTCATCGAGGACGAGGCGCCCCTGTTGATGCTCATGTCCTCCCCCGGCATCAAGGAGCGCCACTGGCACCAGATCGTCAAGACCACGGGTATCTCGTTGCCGTATGAGCAAGACTTTGTGCTAAGGGACCTCCTCGACGCCGGGCTCCAGAACTTCTGCGCCGAGATTGAGGAGGTACGTGTCGCGTGCACTATGAGGAACAATTTTTCAGAGTTATCGGCGATGTCCTACTCTTCGAAGTGCGCCCAGTCAACTACGCGTCAAAGTCCCTGCCGCTCTCTTCGCCTTTGACCCTACCTCCAAACTCGTGTTGCACCCAAGTACTCAGCATCCTCGATGTTGATTCCTACCCGTTCTTTTCGCAGACTTGCGTGGCCGCTTCCAAGGAGTACTCCTTAGAGAACAATATGAACATCATGGAGGAGGAGTGGAGCGGCCTCGTGTTTGAGACGAAGGAGTACCGCACGTCCGGCACGAGGATTCTCGCGTCCGTGGATGAGACGCAGCAGCTGCTGGACGATCACATCGTCAAAACGCAGGCCATGCGAGGATCGAGGTGAGATGGATTGGGGTAGTGCGTACCTTTGCCGGGGGTCGAGGATGCCTTTCCAACGCTGCTCTACTCTGAACTATTCGGCCGCAATACTCGACGGATCACGCTTAAGCTCTCGCTCGGGTACCACGAGAAAACAATCTTGCTTTTAAGCACTGGAAGCAACCCCTGCTAAAGGACTCATGGAGGAAACCTTCCAAGATGTGTTACGAAGAGGTTGTTCCTCGCAGAATCCTTATCTTCGGTTTGAGTTCCACAGGTAACACAAGAAGCTGTGATTGGGAAGCATGAAGGAATTCACGTTAGGACAGATGCACACACTGCAAGAGCGGCTCCACAGATCACAACAAGTCCCCACAAGATATCGGTCCCCTGGCCAGCTATAACTTTCGCCGCTACAAATAGCCGCGACGAGACCAGAGAACTTGCACGCACCCGTGGGTTCAACCACCATCTTGTGCTAGAACAATCATGTGTAACTCTCACAACTTTCTGAGGCGAGTAGCTTGGACATGCCCTATTCCAAAACAGTTTTCATCCTCAAGCTTCTTCGACCTATTGTCTGAAACCCCAAACCCTGCGTAATAAGGACGGCCATGCAGTAAGAACGACGCCAACCTACCCGTTCCAGTCCACTTCACTGTCGTATGATACAAACGTTGCCGTGCTTGTATTGATAACCGAAGCACACAATGGCCGTTGGCCGACGCGGTGCGATCAACTACTGTAGGTACATAGGGCCGTTTTTGGACAGAATCGTGGACTGGGAGAAGACGCTCAACGATCTACAGGACATTATGGACAACTGGCTTAAGATGCAGGCGACGTGGTTGTACCTGGAGCCAATCTTTTCATCGGATGACATCATGCGGCAGATGCCCGTAGAGGTACGCGATTCTCCTTGTTTTGAAGAAGCGGTGGCGACAGCTTTACCGGCAGTTAATAGGAACCTCGTTGAAAGGATGCCTTATGGACACCTAGAATAGCTGTTCTCCCCCGTTATTTAGGGTGTTTTTTTCCTTTTAGCGTCATTGGGTCGGTATGTGCCCGCGTACCTTCAACTTATCCGGTGAATAACGGTATACTGTAGCAGTCTGTTTCAGGCTGCAGCTTATTCTCATCGCCCAGAGACCACTCGCCCGGTATCCCGTTGCCCGGCCGTCAACACGAATGGCCGTCGCTTGATCTGGACACGTATACGCGATGTTTTTTTGTTACCCCACGACCCGTCAACTCGGCTCGAAAGTTCAACAGAAGAAATGAGCTGTGAGAAAGCTAGCGTTCGCAAAACGTGCGGAGTGAATTGCAATATTTTTCTTCCCCTTCTAATCCTACAAGGGTACCTTGATTGACCTCTGTTTTGGAAAAAAAATGTCGATGGATATGAGAGGAAAAACACTGTGAATCACCCGAGGTCACGACGAGGACTTCAATGTTTTGTTGTTGAGTGTCGGTCGAGTTTGGAATTGACGTCTAGATAACGTACAGTAGTACACTGGGTGACAAGGCAGTCAGCCCAACCAACGACAACATCATTCGTGCTTCCAACTGGGAGGCACATCAGCAACGTCACCGTAGGAGTCGATGCGTCCCTATTGGCCGGCTAGACGCGTTGTGAGCGCAAGGGCAAAGACGAATGAGGGACTCGTCGGCGTTTCGTTAATCACACTGCAACAGCGATGATCTCTGTGATTCGAGACTTCCTCTGTTCGACACCACGGTCTCTCTTTGACGCCCTCGAACACGCTTCTTTGGCAATAAACCGCAGGGACGGCTGTTCCAGTCGGTGGACCAGACGTGGCGCGAGCACATGCAGAAGACCTTCGAGGACCCCGCCGTCCTCGCCGTGGCCAGGCGCCAGGGATTCCTGCAAGCCCTGCAGGACGCGAACGCGAAGCTCGACGTCATCCAGAAGGGGCTCAACGACTACCTCGAGACAAAACGCCTGGCCTTCCCGAGGTTCTACTTCCTCTCCAACGACGAGCTTCTGGAGATCCTCGCCGAGACCAAAGACCCGCTCAGGGTGCAGCCGCACCTCAAGAAGTGCTTCGACGGGATCTCGCAGCTGGAATTCCAGCCCAACCTGGACATCACCGCCTGCCTGGACCCCGGGGACGAACGGATTGACTTCCCCTACGAGCAGGTTGTTCATTTCTGGCGATAGTGCGTATGAGTGGTGTGTTTTATGAAGTTGTTGCTACCTCTGCCACCTCGGCAGGTTGTGATGTAGCTTTGCCTTTGGTTCGGCACACAATGAACCCCGTGTGCTTGTCTTCGTTGGAAGTGTATGTTTGCTCGAGGTGTATGTGTTGCTACCAATAGTCTGTCTTAGCATCAGGGTCGGCCGATGGCTTGCTTGCAAGCGAGTTGACTGTGCACTTCCCGCTCCCGCCTGTTCAAAGGTCACCGGCGTGTTTCTCCTTGTCGCCGCTAGGACTCTTGGCGATAGTTTTCCGTACGACAGGTGGAGAAAATCGTTCGTGCGTTGTACTGGTACAGAGGATGGAGTTGTCGCCCGTGCCGAACGGCATCTGATGTTCGTTGGAGTATCTCGACGAGCACAACATGGCTGCTTTTCGTGGCGGTTGCTTGGGGATCGTATCGGGAGTAGAGGTTCGCACCTGCAACAAATTTCAGTGTGAATGCCAGCCTGACGTCACCAAGAACGGTCGCAAGCGGTTTCCCCCTTGACAAGGTGTGCATTGCATCTCGTTCTCCGGCGAAAACCTACCTGCTGTACCCCACGGAAAATATTGAACTGTAGGTGAAGCATACGATGGTGAACCCGAACAACTCTGGCGGAAACGTGGAGCGCTGGCTCGTGGAGGTGGAGATCATGATGAAAAAGGGCCTGGCCTACTCCATCGACACGTCCATGGTTTCTCATGCGTCCTCCGACAGGTTGGACTGGGTCCAAAAATGGCCGGGACAGGTGAGCCTTTGTCAATGACTGGTCGCGGCATACATTCGGCGAGCGGTGTGGAATGGCAAAGCACCACCGGCTGTGGTAGACGGGACGCAGGAGAGTAGTAGGTGCAAGTTTGTATCTCATTGCACAATCGGGTGCTCCTTCCGGTTCTACTATGTAGCGGTGTGTTTGGGGCTCATGCCTAGGTACCCCGGTACGCTTTTCGAAACACGTTACGAGATACGAGAGATCGAAAGACCAGATGGAGGGGTCTCAAGTTTTCTACCTAGGGTGAAAGGGCGATTGTCTGGAGTGGAATTTTCCCCTTCGCGGGTAGGACGTGTCTCCACTGAGGGACATCCTGCCCGTCGCCAAGCCATTCGCAGCTCCACACTACGGCACCTCCTCATCTCAGCGGCAGTGCTCAGATCCGAAGGCATTCTTCGGACCATTCGTTGAACTCCACCGTGGCCGGCGGCCAAGCTCCGAAGGACTCCATCGCTCCCTCTGGGTATATGTTGTAGTGCGGTTCACACGCTACTTCCGGATTCCGCGTCGCGCACAGGTGATGCTGGTCGTCAACCAGCAAGCGTGGACGCATACCCTCGAGACCGTCATCACGCACATGAAAGAGGACCCGGAAGCCTTGAAGAAGCACTGGGAGTTCTCCTGCGAGGAGCTGCTCCGCACCGTGGAGCTCGTGCGGACGGACATCAACAAGAACCTGCGGACGTCCCTCGGGGCCATGGTCGTGATGGACGTGCACAACCGGGACACCACCGAGGAGCTCGCCTCACTCAAGATCTCCGACGTCGGAGAGTTCGACTGGCTGGCGCAGCTCCGGTATGCCGTACCGCGTGCGGTGTAGCTCGGCGTTTACGCGATTACATGAAGTGTAGTGCCGTGTGTGGTGTGTGTTTTTTCTTGGGAGGAGGGAATCCCCTCTGGTACGGAACACCTCGCCGAAGCTCCAACGCCCACATAATGTTTGTGTTCGTCTGGCGTCCGGGGGGCGAAACATGAGATCGTTCTGCCCGCTCACATGGGTGTTGCTGCGTGTCACTCCAGAGCAGTACATGAAGGGGATCCATGGGATTGCGGCGTTTGGCGCCTTGGTACCCCGTTGCAAATCTAGGGCACAGCGCACCAGTTTGTCATGGTCAGCCGACAAGCGGGTGGAGTGTGCTTGGATGCTAATGCGATTCAAATTCCTCGAAAACAGGTACTACTGGGAGGTGGGGGGACAGTCTGCCTTTTCTGGAGAACCGGGCTCGATCACGTGCAAGATGATCAACGCGATCCAGCTGTACGGGTACGAATACCTGGGAAACAACGGCCGACTGGTCATCACACCCCTCACGGACAGGTGAGAAAAAACAGGGCATGCCACTTGATCTCAGAAAAACGTCACCGTTGCGTACATGCAACAGAGAGACACAATCGCCCGGTGTGGTGCGTTCAGCGGGAGTTACGAGCACCTTTGACGATATTGAGGTACGCTCCCTTCTGCCGTAAACCCTCATGTTCAAGTCCTCGGTCCGGGCCACACACCAGACAGGCGGTACTATGACAAATGTGGCAAAAAAATTATGTCTGTCTGTTCGGTAATTGTTGTCTCGGCGAATCGTGTCCCCTCATCACGGAAAGGTGTTACCGCACACTCATGGGAGCGATCCACCTTAATCTCGGCGGAGCCCCCGAGGGTCCCGCGGGTACCGGCAAGACAGAGACGACGAAGGACTTGGGCAAGGCCATCGCCATCCAGTGTGTGGTCACCAACTGTTCCGATGGCCTGGACTACTTGGCTATGGGGAAGTTTTTCAAAGGTACCCGTTATTTTGAAACGTAGGCTAATGTCAGTCGCGATCGCTCCCTCAATTCCCCCCTGGACTCCGGTATATCCGTTCGCTTCCGGCAACGATACCGACACCCCGTACCCAATGCTTCCGTGGGAGTACACGGCACGGTATAACTACACCTCGTGTAGGCGACTAGGTTCGGGTCATCGTTTGGAACGACTAACCCTGGTCGGTGCCATGCTGACGTCATTCGCTCGGACTAGGCCTCGCGTCCTCCGGCGCGTGGGCCTGCTTCGACGAATTTAACCGTATCCAGCTCGAGGTGCTCTCGGTGGTGGCACAACAGGTACAGGGCGATTTTCCTTGATGTTCCATTCCCTGTTTGCTGTTGGTAGGGGATGCTGACAAGAGCTTCGAATAGGTTCTCACCCCCCCTCCTTAGTCTGGACACCGGTTCTCGCACGTTTCGGGATGTTATTCGACGAACAAGGCTGGGTCATATAGAAGGAAGGGCACATAGAAAACTGTTGTTTTCAAACTTCCTTCAGCGGTCCATGCCTCATTTTCACATATCTCGAGAAGGATACACCCGTTCCTTTTCATCGTCGATCGTGAAGTCGAACTTTGTGTGCTCACGTACATTGCATGTTGGGTGAGACGTGGGTGTTGTGCCATTTCGTGTGGGTTCACCGAAATTCGGACGAAGTCGCCCGCCCACAACGTTGCGAGGTCGTGCCAGCATAACCACCGGGACTTATATCAGCATATCTGCAGGAGGTTGACCGCTCTCTGCACACGACGTGTGGTTACCCTGGGTTGCATTCTCGGCCAGGTGCTGTGTATACAGCAGGCCAAGGCGAGAGGCCTCAAACGCTTCGTCTTCGAAGGGACCGAGCTCAACCTCGTGCACACGTGCTGCCCGTTCATCACAATGAACCCGGGGTACGCCGGCCGGGCCGAGCTCCCCGACAACTTGAAGGTGCCCTTTCGCCCTCGGCTGGATCCCACTGTCCAATCGTTTCGCGTGTGACGCATTGGTTGTTGTACAGCATGGAGAAGCCATGCATTTCTCAGAGCTCGACGCATGAGGAGATCACCGATCTCTATCCAGAACCTTGATCTCGCTGTTCCCGTGGCTTGAGTGTCCTCTAACCAAAGACTTTCCCTCTTACTTCCAAAAGGTGCCATAGTGCAGTCAATATCTCATAGGGTTAGACGAGAGGAGGTTGCTCAGAATATTCTCGGGTATGATTATCGACAAGTTCGGGGCGCTCTCCCGACGTGCACCGCCCAAACGTCAGTCAATCGACCTCTCTGGCTCATAATTAAGAGCAGACCAACGCACCGAGATTCATACCGCACGGAGCGGTCCCGTGATTTACTGCTTCTACCACCTACGTATCACACCTCGCGCCATCATCCCATATGCCGAAAAAACAATTCCCACCGTGCCACATCAGTCAACGTATTCCTTTTCGTCCGACCCGATCATTGTCACGGATTAGGTGTTGTTTCGGACGGTGGCGATGATGGTGCCCGACTACGGCATGATCAGCGAGATCATCCTGTACTCGTTCGGGTACACGGACGCCAAGAAGATGTCGGTCAAGATCGTCACCACTTACAAGCTCTGCTCCGAGCAGCTCTCCTCGCAGTCGCACTACGACTACGGCATGCGCGCGGTGGTGGCCGTGCTGCGCGCCGCGGGGAACCTGAAGCGCTCCGACGCCCACCTCCCGGAGGACATCTTGGTCCTGAGGTATAACGAGAGAACAGTCAATTGTGCGGTGTAGACTGCTGTACTTCGTCGTTCATGGGGCGAGCATCGTTTCTTAGTGCAAAGGAGGGAAGGTTTATTGTTTCCCGCGAGGACCACAAAGTTTCGTGCCACTTGTGTTGGGCTTTAAATTTGTGACTTCGGTCGATCAGTACGGATAGATGAAGGTGCTGGGTAAAGAGATCGAAAAGGTTTTTCGTGCGAGGATAACAAACAGCAACAACTCTAATTTTGTTGGTGAGACGGGTGGCGTGGCTCTCTTGGTGTCGGTGAGGGAGGGCTCCTAATACGATCTCGAATTTTGGCGGAGTCGACATTACAAGCGAACAGGTCAACACCGTGATTAAGACCCATCCCCCTTTCCTTCGGTCGCTTGTTTCGGTCTGGTGTATCTTCACCGAACCCCCTTTTCAGGTCGATCATAGACGTGAACTTGCCCAAGTTTCTGTGGTTCGACGTCCCTCTGTTCAACGGCATCGTGTCAGACCTCTTCCCCGGCGTGAAGGTGCCCGACCCGGACAGGGACGCCATGCGAAAAGTGAGAACAACAACAGAAGCTAGGAAATATGTATCTTCTGTCAGGGAATCTTGTGCAAAGCCACACATTGTTTGGAAGCATGGTTCAGCAGAACCTCTGTCCGCCTTGATTGCGAGCGGGGCACGTCTCTGAACCGATCGGTGCACCACTCTCTTGGTGGTTCCAGGGGGCGTACAAAGCTCCACCCCATGCACCTGACCTGGCACCTGGAACATTGTGTTCTTTATTGAGGATATACTATGCCTAAAGTTGCGCACGATCGCCGCACGTCACCGTCCCAGGCGTTCAACGACGGGTGCAACCACTACAACCTCCAGCCGACGGCGTACTTCTGGGAGAAGGTCGTGCAGATCTACGACATGATGGTGGTCCGCCACGGCTTCATGATCGTCGGGCTGCCGTTCTCGGGCAAGACCATGGCGTGGAAGGTGCTGGCGTTCGCCCTCGGTCTCCTCCACACGAGGTGCGATTGACGAGATCCACGCCGATTCACACGTACGTTCGATCCGTTGGACTCAAGAATTATCACCGAAGATTCGCTCAACAGAAGCGTTCTTGAAAAGCGAAACGGTTGGTGGCCAACCGATGCCAGAGCGTATCCACCCTCGCATTGTCATATGTGCGGGTGTCGCCAAGCATGCTGGTTTGTTTTGTGCTGCCTGTACTCACTCTACCGCCGCATGGTCCATCGGAAGGTAGTGTGCATGGAGACGGAAAAATGGCCCGATGCGGCATGTCTCTAAGCAACAAATACTCTCCTCTTGAGTTTGCCCCATACCAACGTTTACCCCAAGGGTTGATTTCGCGTCATTTAAGTGCATGCAACCTCTATTCTTTCAGTGTCTGACGACCTCATCTGTAAGGGCTAAAGCTCTAACACAATGGGCAAAAACTCAAACGCAATACTCAACGAGAACCTTCCATCTTTGACTGTCCCAGTTCTGCTTCCTCACCGGCATCATGCACAATAAACGAATTTTGGCAGATACCCCGAGGATGTCCGCTGGTCTAAGGTAATACCGTTCCTGATGAACCCCAAGTCCATTGCGATGGGGCAGCTGTACGGCCAGTTCGATCCCACTTCGCACGAGTGGACGGACGGAGTCCTCGCCATTCAGTACCGGAACGCCGCCTCGAACAAGGTGTGACGACGGAGCGTGTTCGAAGGTTTCCTCCAACCATCAACGTTGTTGTTGTCAGCAGCACTTGTTCTTGTTGATAATGTTGATGACGATCTAAACAAATGTTTGAACGATAAAACAGGCGTTCGAAGTCGTGCATCACGGCCTCATGCATGGCAAAATCCCCATGAGGTCCTTTGACGATGCCGGACAGGTAATGAGGAAACGTGTATTTGTGTATGGTGCTATTCATATTTGGGCCATTGTATCTTATCTCCAGTTAAACGAAGATGACTCTTTCATTGTGACAGGTGGGCGAACCGGGAGACCGCAAGTGGATCCTATTCGACGGTCCTGTGGACGCCATTTGGATCGAAAACATGAACACCGTTCTCGACGACAACAAAAAGGTACTGTAATGCACCCTAGTTGTGCAAATGTTTCGTCCGTATTTTCTTCTCCACACAGAGTTGCACGGAATAGACCGAGGTTCGTTGAGCACATAAGACGTGCTTGACAACACTATGTGACTACTCATTAGGAACAGATGATGCTCAAATATTTGGTGACTTTTTTTTGCGCAGGAAAGAAACACTTGACTCACGGAGCTATTTAGTCTTCCGTAGACGACGTCGGAAACCCGGTGGCAATGACGGTGATTCGGTCCACGAAACTGGGGCAAACACCAGAACACCACCATTAAACTCAAGCACTTTCCATCGTCCAAGAGGCATTCGTGAGACTGCTGAACAACAAATACCACGCAAGTGTTCGAGGGCAATACATTGCGGCGTGTGTATAGCGTTAGACAAAAGCTGCCCCATGCATGGTAGAGACTGGTCACCATCCTTCGTTGTATCTCTAACTCAATACGTAGCCCATCGCCGCCTTCATTCCCGGTACCCGTTCCCAAACCGTGAACCGGACAACAATGTCCGTTCCTCATTAGCGGAAGGAGAATTGCGATACGGCATTCGGGCACAACTGTTCCTCGCAGACTATCCCCAAAAAATCTCTTCGCCCATCCACCCCTCAACACACCAGCTGTGCCTCATGAGCGGAGAGATCATTGCCATGTCGGGCGTGATGTCGATGATGTTCGAGCCCATGGACCTTCTCGTAGCTTCTCCAGCCACCGTCAGCCGTTGCGGGATGATCTACATGGAGCCAGAAAAGTTGGGGTGGCAACCTATCCTGGACTCCTGGATCAGACGGTGAGAGCCATGTCGGACGTGTCTCACTGCTTGCAAACTTTCAAGACTGCCACTGGGTTCTACAAAAACATGGACCTTGGGACGGCAGCAAGCATGAGGAACGCTACGCGCCAGTGATGAAACATAACTTTCGGACCAACACTGATTCCTTGGCCTTTTTTAACCCTACAGTTACCACTCCCTCTCCCGTTGCGTCTTGCGTTGTTTGCAAAAAAAAATCCCAGTCACCAAGGGAAGGATCTCTCCGCTTTGGAGAAAGGGGAACCGGGGGAAGCAGGGGACGACACTGCCGCCACTGCCGAGCCATCCGCCGCCAACGGGCCGACAAAATTAACTCTGACAGCGAACGAGTGCCTGCTGGTGCGCGAACTGTTCGCCTGGCTGGTGGAGCCATGCTTGGCGTTCTTGAGGAGGGAGGTGTCTGAGATGGTGAGACATCGTCGTTGTTGTCGGCACTGGTGCCGTCCTGTTTGCTCGGAAGGCGATTCTGTTCTAACAAAGCCTTTTCGGCTATTCTCTTGAACAACCATGGCGCCCGGGACAGCACGAGTGGCGCAGGGAGATTATCCTGAGCGACCTTGGTTGAAATTACTGAAGATAACAATTTGCCCTCGTTTATGAAAAGTCACGCTCTCTGAGGTTTTTCAAGCATGTTGAATCCGCAGCATCGACACCGTCCTTCTATTCTATCCTTTGAAGGTGCCAACCGTAGACACAAATCTGGTGCAGTCCCTCATAAACATCATGGAGTGCCAGCTAGAAGAGGCATTCGAGACGACCCGGGGGGGAGAGGCCGGGGGCCGCAAGCAGTCTTTATCGAAGTCGAAGGCCTCCGCGGGTGCCGAGGAAGCAGAGGCCATGGACACAAAGGTGTGGCTTTCGATCGACGCCTTGAGTTGTAGGATTTTCCCAGCCTCTAGGGAACAGGAAGCCGTGCACTACATACTCACTCACCTACCATACCCCCCCTACGGTCGACTAGCTACTCACCTTCCCAGTAGCTGGGCTTCAGGCATTTTTTTTGTAGTCAACGCGTTGGATTGCTGCCTGTGCAGTTGCGACTATGGCGTACTATCTCGTTTGGTAGGTGATGTTGAAAACAATTTTCGTTTTTCCAGTGCCTTACAATATCCTGTCGTGCTGCGCGCGTGAACTTGTGAGAAACCGAGAAACACGCACGAATCGTTGATGATGATGACAGAGCGCCCAACGAACGCGAAGTAAGACTTGGTTTGTTGAGGAACCGAATGGAGGCAGCAATGTAGTTTGATGGACGAAATTAGTTCAGCAAACCCGTTTCACCTGCGGCACATCCTGCGTCGTTTCGCTCGCACAAAAGGCACTGCGAGAGGACAGAACTTTCGCCCCCCGTGCCGATAACGGGTGACGGTCGAAAATCTCCCCGTCGAGGCGGAAGCAACCTACTCTACTCATGACATACTTTCAAAGCAGACATAAAAGCTCCCCTTACTTCCCGCTCCCTCTGCCGCGGCCGTCCCGTTGCTCGCGACAAAAAAAAGACGCTTGCCGTGCGCGCGAAGCACATAGAGTGCTGCTTTATGTTCGGCCTGGTATGGTCGCTGGGCAGCACCGGGGTCGAGGCCGGTCAGAAGGCGTTCTTGGAGTTCCTGGACAACATCGTCGCCGATCTGGGAGTGATCGAAAACGAGTGGGAAGGGGTCAACAACGCGCTTCAGGTGCGGGGAAGGTCGAGGATTTTATGAGTAGCAGGCGATGCATTGGAGGGTTGCGTGCATGGGCTAGTTTTTCACTCTCTATGGTGGATGCTCGAGGAGTAGTCATGGGTGGTTGTTCGGAGAGATAAAACCGTTCTTTCAATTTTGTTGAAAGCATTTGGTGCAGACAGCGCGGGAGTGGCAAAAAGACTCATACGCCTTCTGAACGCACACCGCTTGTTAAATGACCTAACAACATGGTTAGGTTAGTGACCTCTGCGATCCTAAGGTGCTGTTGGTGTACACTACCGCGCTCAAACGGGTGTGCGGGTGTGCTACAACGACGCTTCTGTAGTTGAATTCTGCGGTAGCTTGGTCTCCGAGTTTACGAGAGGGGGCGAGAACAGGCGGGCAAGAGAGCCAAGGCTTCTTGTCTAGTTGTTGTTGTTGGGTTTTTACACCGACACCGGTGTTCTCTCATTTCATTTGTGATGCCGACATCGACTTGCCCTCGAATGCGAGTCGAACGATACGTTGCACGTCGTGGGTGATACCCGCACTTTCTCACGTACGTCGCACCTCAGACATTATTGTTCCTACGGAGCACTTCTTATTCACGCGTTTGAACCAGGAAAAAAAGAAACCACTTGATGATTGGAGTTTTGGGATTTACAACTCTTTTCGTCGTGTTTTCGTGTTCCATTTTCCTCTCTCGGAATTTCAGGTCAGAAAATGGAGCCCACCGAACTTCGCCGAGAAGGGAAGAGCGTTCTCCGGCAAGCTCTCCAATCCGTGCCCGGTACGGGACGGCGGTCCTCGAGCGCACTTCTACAACCCATTGCGGGGGGAGTGGGTCCAGTGGGTGAACATGCTGCCGGAGCTTCAGATTCCCGACGCGGCCACGATGGGAGACATCGTCGTGCCGAACGCCTACACGGCCCAGTACAACTCCCTTTTGACCCTTCTGTTGAACCGCGACAAGAAGGTGAATAATCGTGGAACGCACGTCGAGTTCCTGCGAGTGAATGTTGATGGTGCGAAGGTTCTCTCACCCTTGTTGTATTGACTCGATTCACCCCTTCTCCATCTTTCAGATATCATCGAGCGGAATCCCCGTGCCATTCCGCTACCTGATCCTCCCCTCTTGCTGATTGGAGTGAAATGTTTCGCTCAGGACTCCAAGCGCAGCATCCTGATTGTTGTTTTTCTGAACTTCTTACTTCCAATTGTCCGAGCACTCGCCGAGCACGATGGACGTGGTGTTAGTATGATGAATGAAACGCCCGGGATGCTGCTGCCGTTGTTGTTGCGCAGACGATTGTGTGCGGGCCGACGGGTACCGGCAAGTCGACATATGTTTTCAAGACCATCACTCAGGTGAGAAATACAACATGGACAGGACCACCCGAAACTGGTATCTACCGCTCTTTGACAGATTTCCGTGGCGACGAGCGCGGCTTAGGACGGGATGCGTCGGATTTCTTCAGGACTTGAATCTAGTGTGCAATACACCCTCGCACAACGTTTCGCGCGAAGAGAGCGGTACCCTTGACAGTCGATGGCTTTATTTTTTGCGGGGTTTAGGAGCGGGTGATAAACAAAACCGTGTACCCGGTCCTTGCACAGGCACTGGCCCAGGACAAGTTCAAGCCTCTGACTCTGGGGTTCAGCGCCAAGACAAGCGCAAACATGACGCAAGATATCATTGACGGAAAGCTCGACAAAAGGCGCAAAGGTAAAAAGAGGGGGTTGAAGAAACTCCAGAGAAGCTTTTCGTTGCTGGTAGTGTTGCAGTCCACGCGGCAAGAGACGAAACACCGCGGGGTTTGAGATGTAGTACAGTGTTTCAGTGTTAAGTAACCGATTGTGAATGGTAGCGAATGATGATATAATGGAGGTGCCCTGGCGTGTTCCCATGTTCAACTCTACCAGTATGTTGAGGGGTAGGCGCAAGCCGAAAGTAATCTTTGTGTGGTTCCAAGCCTAGTATGAGAATTTTATCCCGCCGGTGGGTTGATGCCGCTAAAGAGTTTGCCCCAAACATGAGATATTTCACGCGCCCTGATTTCCATTGCTTCCGCTCCTGTCGTGTGCTGCGGCCAACCCGACCCAGGTGTATACGGTCCGCCCATGGGGCAGACCGCCATCATATTCGTGGACGATCTCAACATGCCTGAGGTGGAGACCTACGGGGCTCAGCCCCCGCTCGAGCTCCTGCGGCAGATGATTGACAACGGCGGCTGGTGAGACGATGGCCTTCTTGTCCAAGCTCTCCTGTGGGTAGGGGGTCTAAGAACAGCGAAACGCGAGAAACAGGGAACTTGGTTAAATATGTCAGTACATATCGCACTTTCTCCGTGTAGAAACGATGTAATCCGAGTTTCTCTCAAGCTTGACTGAGAGGAAGTTCAATGTTCTACGCACATGTTCGCGAGCAATCGATGATGCAATGAGGTGCTCTCATGACATTGAGGGCTGGCACATTTTTGGATGTTCGGGTGGAAAATGTCGTTTTCGGTCCATGAACGTGTGCTACTCGCGTCTGCTTATCTGGGCGCCGAGTCGCGGTCCATTTTTTTCCCACGACGCGTCGTCGTTGTTTTCGCCCTTAATCCGACGCCCGTACAATGTTCAGGTTGGACTTTTGTGCTGGATCCAAAGACCTCTCGAACTCTAGCCCCATGAGCATCCGGAACAACACCGAGTGCGTTTTTCAGTCAAATTCAACGTGAACGATAGTCTGTCCTAACGGGTGTTGCCGAAAATCAGGGTATCGCATTCAACCGATGACTTGTTACGAACCGAACAGGTACAACCTGAAGGACATGACGTGGCAGACAGTTGTGGACACCGTTGTCGTCGGCGCGATGGGACCTCCTGGCGGGGGCAGGAACCACATCACCCCGCGGTTCCTTCGGCACTTCAACATTCTCTGCTTCCTTGAGTTCGACGACAGCACTCTCACGAGAATCTTCAAGACCATCGTTGATTGGCACTTCAATCTCAACAAGGTCAGAACTTCATGTTGCGCGCGGTATTGTATGACGGGTTCACCCTCGCATTCACGTCTCGTCTATGCTGCGGTTTCTGGATCACACACCATGATATCCTTGCTGCACTCGGTTTCACATCTTGCTGGTGTTGTCGAGAAAAACATGCCACTTCGCAGGCCTTCGACGGTACTCACGTATTTGATCTAGAATCCTACCGTCCTCGACAAGAACATGGTAACCTCAGGCGGACACCATAAGTTTCAAACCAAAGGCACCAGTCTTGAGCGAATGTTTGATGCGAAGCCAGCTCTTGATATACTGGAGATACCCGGCGTAATCCAGGAATTGAAAATACCGAGAATGACCACAACGGGAGTTCGTTCAAGCTTCAAGCGCATGTTTTCCCTTGCGCAGTGTTCCGCTGACATCAAGGCGACCACCGGGGCTATTGTTGGAGCCACCCTGGACACTTTCCGCTCCGCGACGAAGAACCTTCTACCTACTCCTACCAAGAGCCACTACACCTTCAACCTCCGTGACTTCAGTAGGGTGATTCAGGTGTGCAGCGTGTACGACTTTTTGAGTATTTACCCATACATTAGGTCATGGGATTTCCAATCCTTGGACTATGGGATCTCTGTGTTCGCTGATTGAAGTCCCGGTGGGTGTTAGGTATTGCGTGGTTTTGTTCGTGAATAGGTGGTGGACATTTATGTTTTATTCGCTTCAGAGAGGCAGTCAAGCGCGCACTGATCGATGTCTACTTGCTAAAGACGTCAAAATTAAACCATTAGACCTGTCGCCGCTGACCATTTTGCCTAATGGTTAGGTTTCGGCTTTAAACATGCTCAAAGTGCGACCATGTTTTCTTCCACTTTGATAAGGTGAATCGAGATACACGCGGTGGTCAAAAGGTCCATACAATGAGTGAGAATAAAATACAACATCCAAGCAATAAGCCCCGCGAGTCAAGGGACCAAGTGATTGTTGCCGAATCTCGAGCAGAGTCTGCGGAGCTAAACAGGCTTTGAAACAGTAGCTTTCTGCATGATGGCACCGCGTCTGGACACCACTTTGAACCTTTTCAACCTCAGGACGCTGTCGGCAAGTAAGTCTTATTTTTCGGACTTGACAAGGAACATATTTTTTCCAGACGCTAACCAACGCACGCTTTCGCGCGTCCATTTTCTCTGAACACACGAACAACCCGGTCTGGTTTCGTGTTCGGGACCTCAACAACGAAAAAGGGAGTCCTGATGGTGAAACCGAACGACGGGTTCGGCAAAGCAAACATGGTGCGGCTATGGGTGCACGAGTCGCTCCGTGTTTTCGGGGACCGATTGGTGGATGACCCGGATCGGGAGTGGTTCCTCCAGCACTTGAACGGGATGGTGAGTAACCGCGTGACGAGTGCATGTCGCCCTACGAAATTTCAACATGGAAGGTGATCTGAGGTCACTCGAGGCCGAAGTCTTACGACCATAGACCCTAGCTCAACCTTCCACGGGCGCGAGATAGCGCGCCAGTCAGTCGCCGAGGTAGCAGGGGTGCAGATCTCCACTTTGGAACTAGACTACAACCCTTTGCTTGCTTCAACTCCTGCTGACGTCGAGCGAGTTTGGTAGTTACGAACGCAGCTCAAAACAAGCGACTGGTGGCCGTCTGGCCGGCGATTGGATGGGGTGGCCGCCTGGCTGGCGATTGGTGCTGAGAATGATTCTTCCGGCACTTGACGAAGTGGCAAGAGCGCACACTCGCGCGGCGTGGGTATGTCTCGGTGAAGGACGATGCGTGGGGTGCTTTCGCGCCACCCTCCGAGATTCTAGTGCACCTTACACCGATACGGAGGGAACAGCGAAGCCTTACATGCGGGGGGAAGCACAACAAATGTGGAGTGGTGTCTCTGGAGGTTAGCCACAACCACGCCGTTGATTATTCCATGATTTTCCGAACATGCCACGCTCCGTACGTATGTGCATAGATCTCTACCCATTTCGGGACGAAGCTGTACGAAGCCTGCAAGCACCTGGACGTCGAGGGAGAGGGGTCCACCACAACGGGGCAGCTCCGCAAGCTGTTCTTCGGCGACTACACCGCACCAGAGGGAGCGGACCGGAAGGCGAGACCCCCGCTTTTATTTAACTATAACAAAGTACACTGCGATGCCTAATTGATCTATTTGATACACGGCAGTTACCCGAGTCACAACCAGAAAAGAGAACCCCGACAGAAAAAAACTTCCCCTATCTGACAGCAGAACTGCAGCAACGTCTATCTGTCAGAAAGTGGCGTACAGAACTGGTCGCACCAAAACGTCCTGTACAACCCTCGTACGCCAATATTGCGTTCTATCTCCGTCCACCAAATACTTTTGGGCCGCGTAGTAGTCCTGTACCACGGTGGTGCTGGTCGCCGTTTCCAACGTACGTTTAATCTAACCCCAACTTTGTTGTCTCGAAACCCCGTTTCCTTCGAACTTGTTGTTTTAGCCGTACGACGAGGTGTCGGACTTGGATCAGCTGCAGGAGAGGATGGTGCGGTCCCTCAGCGACTACAACGCGCGCTCGCGGAAACCGATGGATCTCGTGATGTTTATTTTTGCTGTGGAGCACGTCAGCCGTCTCGCTCGGTGAGATGTTTGGAAACGAGACACACCGCGGTGGATGACAGGTTCCCGGAACACTTGTTGAGCTCCCCGCACCTCTTCATCACGACTAACGCTCCGCTAGGGCGGGGGTAGACTGCTCCAAGCATAGACCCTCTCCAAAACGCGAAGGGCCCGAGCGAGTGACGCATAGGACTCTCGCAACATGGCTACTTTGGGTCCAAACGATATTTAGTGTTCGCAGTACAAGCACATCTGACAAACGAGGCAACGTGGCGCCGAGTTGGCACAATACTCAGTATTCTTTCGTCGGAGGTAAAACACTCCCTTGGGTGACCGAGAGACGCTGAACTATTCCGCAGGTTGTTAAAGATGCCTGGAGGCAACGGTCTGCTCGTCGGCGTTGGTGGGTCCGGAAGGCAGAGCTGCACAAGGCTGGCCGTCCACATGGCAGACTATACACTGTTTCAGGTATGTGGGAACGTATACAAGGGAGATTCGCTGTTTGAGGACCCTTTCATGAAGTGCGTTTCGCGCTGTTGTTGCCCTATACTGTATTTTCTGATGTTATTGACTCGACGAATTGATCTGGTTAATAAATGGATGCAGGGTTTTGAAGGAGAATTTACAAAACGCATCCATACCAGAGATCAGACTACGTACAAAGACGTTCGGGACCGCAAACCTACATGTCTACAGCTTTATGGATATCGACTCAATACCGTTAAGGCATCTGTTGACGTTGCCACTCGCTCGCGTGCCAATATTTGATATCAAACGAATATTCAGATCGAGATTAGCAAGAACTACGGCCACACGGAGTGGAGGGAAGACTTGAAGACGGTCCTCAAGGGGGCTGGGACCGGAAACACCCCGGTGACATTCTTGTTTTCTGACACTCAGATTATCAACGAGTCGTTCGTAGAAGACATCAACAACATGCTCAACTCGGGGGAGGTTCCCAACATCTTCCCCAACGACGAGAGGGTGGCCATCTGCGAGGCGAGACATGGTGCTGTCTGACTGACATGTGTCGCGCAATGTATTTCGTTTGGCTGTGAAGCCTCCAAAAGGATACTCGCCGAATAGTCCACCCAACGTAGTAGTAGTCGGATCCCCGAATCAACGTTGTTCGATGGAAAAAAGTTTTAATCCTTCAAGCCAGAACTACGCGACAAATCGAACTAACTCCCACCGACCCACCCGTCACATTTCAATAGGCGGTAAGACCTTTCGCGAAGAAAATTTACGGGAAAGCGGCGATGGAGATGTCCCAGCCCCAGCTGTACGCCTACTTCCTGACCCGCGTTAGGGCTAATCTCCACATTGTGCTCGCCTTCTCGCCCATCGGCCAAGCCTTCCGAGATCGGCTGAGAAAGTTCCCTTCGCTCATCAACTGCTGTGCTATAGGTACGAACAAGGGGAGTTGGTCGTTGGTTTCGTTTCTCATCTGGAAGCTCACCCACCTCATGATATACGCTTCGTGGAGTCCCGCTGTCGCTCCTATCCGCCCGCGAGGTCACCACAGCCCACTTAACGGTGTTGTGGAGGGGATATGTTCGTGGCGATGGCAGATGGTGTTGGCACGTCAAAAGCGACTAACCTCCCTCTCCCTGTTCGCCCGTGCTGACGCGTGTCTTCCTCATCGCGTGGCGTGACGTTCACCGCCATCAACTCTTCGCGAAACCAATGCGTATCTATCAAGATTGGTTCACGGCGTGGCCCGGAGATGCCCTCGTGGCGGTGGCGGAGATGTTCTTGGCCAGCGTCGAGTTCGACTCGGATGGCACCCGCCGCTCTATTGTGGAGAGCTGCCAGCGATTTCACGAAGACACCCGGGTCCTGTCCGCGGAGTTCTTGTCGAAGCTCAAGCGTCAGAACTACGTTACGCCGACAAGGTATCGTGTTCAGGGCCAGACGTTAGGGGCGGCATTGAACCTAAGGATACCCCACTTCCGCCTTGACACTTGACGCCATGCTCCAGTTTGGGGTTTCGTCGGGCGTAAGGAATTCGTTGGTGGTTCAGTGGAGTTCGAGCGAGGGTCTAACGCCGCGCCAGGCGCCACGCCCTTGTGGTTGATACTGGAGAGATAATTGAAGACGTGCGACTGTGGCAAAAGCCAAGGTTTTCTGCCTGCCCTTTGTTGTGGACATGTTCGAACCTGATGTGAACATATTGTCGATGTTGGTTTCGATGTGTGAAGCACTACTCTATAGGTATCACCCTACCCAACTGCGGCTGTGCGAGGTTATTTGTCAGTGCCAGCAACGACCAATGGCGTTGGATTCGTCTTGAAGTAGACGTAGTACCGTTGATGCATGCTCCACCTAGCTGGCTTGCACCCATCCGCATGCATCAGTTCGTCTTGCTTCATTTCAAACCCTCCACCGGCTGTTTGGAACTTGTCAAATTTCCCCTCGTCAAACCCCAAAGCTACCTCGAGCTCATCACGGCGTTCAAGACGTCCCTGGCAGCGAAGAGAGACGAGATCTCGGCCGCAAAAAAGCGATACGAGGTCGGGCTCGAAAAACTCGCCTTCGCGACGGAAAGCGTCAACGCCATGCAGGTCGGAAGACGCTTTGTTCCTACTAGCTGTTTCCAATGATGTACTGAACGCCTCTACTTTAGTATATGCACAGGCTTGCTTGGTTGGTCTGTAAGGGTGTCGACACTATGCTGATTGACCAGGTATTTATTTCGACGTCCGAGAAACGAATTGATGGGTGCATGACACCTCCTGTTTGCCAAGCAGCTAATCTACCAATCCTTAACGGGGCACTCGCGATTCGCCATGCATAATGCTGGTCCATCCACTTTTCTTAACCTTGAAGAGTGCCTCCTCGCGGGCTCATTCACGTCCAACAGGAAGAGCTGGAGGCTCTTAAGCCCGTCCTGGCGCAGTCCCAGATGGACACCGAGGTGCTCATGGATGAGATCAAGGACAAGCTCCCCGGCGTGGAGCTTAAGCGGACGGAGGTCCAAGCCGACGCCGCCGAAGCCGAGGCGGAGGCAGCGGAGTGCCTGAAGGGCAAGCAGTCCGTCGAGGCTGATCTGTCCGTCGCCATGCCCGCACTGGACGCTGCTATCAAGGTACGCGGGTCGTTGGAGGGACAAGGTGATTGTGTGGTAGTATGGATTCGTGCGTGGCAAGTGAGTTCCAGCTGATTTGAACCCAAGTCTTTGAGATTTGCCCCATAATTTTTAGGATTTGATTCTTATATTTGTCGAAAGAGAGCCCGTCGGAACGTTGTGTTTAAACGAGGACCGAAAAAGGCTACTTATAATACTCGTGCCGTCGCCGGACAGCTTTCGTGTCATGCTCACATTCCCTCACCACTTCTTCCATTCCCCATCTCTCCCTTCCTGAGCCGCTTCGCCTGCGTGCGATAAAGTGCCGTCGTGTTTGGCTCGATAGTATGCCGAATATATGCCTTACGAACACAAATAATCTCTCAAACTCCGTCGCGACGATCACCACGCATGCTTCCTTCCACCTTAGGCCCTGGACACAATCAAGCAGTCCGAGACCAATGAGGTGAAAGCCCTCGCCAAGCCGCCCATGGGCGTAAAGGTGGTCTGCGAGGCCGTTTGCGTCATGCTCGGCATCAAGCCGGTTAGGATACCGGACCCGGAGGACCCCTCTAAGCGGATCATGGACTTCTGGGGCCCCAGTCAGAAGATGCTCGGCGAGGCCGACTTCATCGCGCAGCTCAAAGGGTGACTTGTGTTGTTGGTATGCCTCCTCCGGCGCTTCTCTCTCTCTCTTTCTCTCTCTCTCTCACTCTCTCTCTCTCTCTCTCACACACACACACACATAGTGTTCTTCTGTTGCGGCTGTTTCTGTCTTTGATCCGAAGGATAGTTTAGCCTCCCCCATGCTGCCCCCTCACGGGGTCCCAGTTCATGGCAGATAGAAGTGTTTTGTGTTATCAACCGCACTGAGACTGACGTCTTTTCATTGGTCAGCCCGCTTGCGCGGTCGATGCTAATTATAAAACACAAAGACAAAGACAAACACAAACGCAAATTAAACTGTTTTCAACCGCACCGAGACTGACGCCTTTTCATTGGTCAGCCGGTTAGCGCAGCGCGGTCGATGCTAATATACACACACGCACACACCATTCTATACAGGGACCTTTTGTTTGCCCCGTAGATACTGCTTGTTTTTTTCTTAGGGGCAAGAAAAGTTCCGGTACAGGGCCACAAGCTCGAGGGATTTCCTGTCTGCGTGCTCAAGCTACTTCCAATGTAATCGGGGAAGTTTCGGCTACGTAGCTCTAACCACCACTCCGGCACATGGGCCTTTCCTAAGAATATCAGCCCGCTTGATGTCGCTGACCTCTTTCTGACAGGTACGACAAGGACAACATTCCCGCCAAGACAATGGCGGAGATCCGGAAGAAATACGTGACGGACCCTCGTTTCACTCCTGAGGCGGCCGAAAAGGCCTCGAAGGCCGCGGCAGGGTTGTGTAAATGGGTGTACGCCATGGAGACCTACGACAGGGTCGCGAAGGTAGGAAGCCGTCCCGACGAAAAATTCACGCTGCGGTTGTTGTTGTTGTTGTGATGGTGATGTTGTCGTCGTCGTCGTCGTCGTTGTTGTTGTTGTGATGGTGTTGTTGTTGTTGTTGTTGTTGTTGTTGTTGTTGGATTTCTGGCGGGTTCGATTACTGTCGTTGATCGAGGGCTTGGTGTCGTGAGATGTATCCTCCACTCTATGTGCACTCTGCTGCAACAGGATGTTTTCCGCTCACGTTGGTCAAGCACCACTCTGTTGGAGTAGCGATCACACCACCAAGCTTCCCGCGCGCACACCGCCAAACAGGTGGTAGGACCCAAAAAGGAAGCCCTCCAGCTGGCGGAAGAGGAACTGGAAGTCACCATGGCGCAACTCAGGGCTAAGCAGGCAAGACCCTTGCTCTTGTTGCTTTCGACACCTACAAGACTTTTTCACCGTGACGACGAAATGAAAATACGTCTTCATGCCCATGGCGACATACGCCTACTGGGTAAATGGGTCAGCTCTTCCCTTTAGCCCCATCCTTTCCAAAAAAACTCATGCACACAGTCATGAAGGGCAACGAGAGCGAAAACACTAGAAAGCCCGGTTAAATACAATATCGACCTTTTCTCTCGTTCACCTACCCTACTCATCAACCACACCTTGAGCAAAATATCGCATTTGTATCACTACGCAGGCAGAGCTTCAAGCGGTGGAGGACGGCCTCGCCGCGCTGCAAGGGCAGTACGATGACGCTTTGAAGAAGAAGGCGGACTTGGAAAACTCGGTGGACAACACCAACAAGAAGCTCGAACGCGCGACGACGGTAAGGGAGGAGGTTTCAAGATTTGGGGGTGTAAGGTAGGGAGGTAGGGAAGTCTGGGTCCGGGGGCAACGGGAGGGAACTGGGCCAGGAAGAACGCGAAAAAAATGAAAAATCGAAAATGTTTGACCTGGTTCTTCTGCGCGACGAGAAAAAGCTTGTCAAGTCGTCGTGGCATCTGGTTTTCTGTGGAGCCGACTGCTCCGGCCCCCTGTTCTAGTTGTCCGCAAACTCTCTTCGGCAACTTGCCGAAACCTTGCAACTGTTTGATGGAGTCCACGGGACGTTGAGCAGGTACGTGAAAACATCAGACCTACGATCTACGCTGCCACCTGCAGCTTCGCAAACGCTTGTCAAACCGCCCCGCCGCCGCCCTGAACAAACGATTTCTTGGCTGGATTGGGCGCAGCTGATTGAGGGCCTAGGGGGCGAGAAAGCGCGGTGGCTGGAGTCCGCAGACCGCCTGGGGGTGAAGTACGTAAATCTCACAGGAGACGTGTTGGTGTCGGCCGGTGTGATGGCCTACCTGGGTCCCTTCACGGCCACCTTCAGGAACGCGCAGCTGGGGGATTGGGTGTCGCTGTGCAAGGACAAGAACATCCCGTGTTCCGCCAGCCCTACTCTGTCGGGTGAGAACTTGGGGATTGCGGGTGCCTTAGTGCTAGATCGCCGCAATAGGTCCCTGCTCGTCGCGAGTTCTTCTTTGCATCTCTCGTTTTGATTTCCCAGAGAGCGAATCTACAACTCGGTCCGAATGATGACGCCGGTACTTAAGCTCCGTCGCGCGCAACATTGGAGGGAATCGTAACAAGAGGGACCTACCTCGCCAAGAACAAGAAGCCTATCCTGTTGGCGTTTGGTTCAGCCTTCTTTCGGAGTCTACCGTTGGTCAGACAGAACTTGCGCCGTTCTGCTGAGCTGCACGTCCCCTCATCGAGAACCCTTCACATCTGCCCGTAGATTGGATAGGCACGTCCGTCCAGACCCTCTCCGAGTCTCGGGCTCGCTGAGGAAAGTTGGGCGAGGAGTGCATTCCCCAACACTGACGACTCTGTACCACACCTTCGTTCGAAACTTGTTGGGATTCCTGCTTTCACCAATCACCAGGCACGCTTGGGGACCCGGTAATAGTCCGCCAGTGGAACATCGACGGGCTCCCAACAGATGGTTTCAGCGTGGACAACGGCATCATCGTCTTCAACGCCAGGAGATGGCCGCTAATGATCGACCCTCAAGGGCAAGCCAATAAGGTATGAGAAGCATCACAGGTCAATGACGGCAAACCGCCTGTAGGATGATGCTGTCAATGGATGGGTCCAGCTTCAAACGCATCATTCCCACGGTCTCGCCAAGTGCATCATCGTGTTGCAGTCTACCATGACTCCCCAAATACCTCCTTGTGTAGGAGCTTCACACACCGTTCAATATTGCGTAACCAGCAACAGACATCCGTGATGACCTTGGCTACAAAATTTTGCCACTGGTGCCATAGCTCTTTTCCAGCGAGAACGACGCAGTACGTCGTGCCTAGCTCCCAACCATGCGCCTGCCTAAGTCGTCCATCCATCTGTCAACAATTTCTCATCGAACAAATTCACACCATGACGCCGCCACCAACATGATCAATAACGGTTGTGAACAGTGGATTCAAAACCTGGAACGGGAGAACAAGCTGACCGTGATCAAACTCACCGACGGGGACTACCTGCGGACTCTCGAGAATGCCATTCAGGTGAGAAGGGGAAGGTTTCGCGGACGGTGGCCGCTTGCCTCTCGCGTAACTCGACTCGATATTATTCGTCCGCTCAATCTGTTCTTGGCATCGCGCCGAAGTCCCCCCCCCTCCCGCTTTCATCCTGTGCAACACTGATGCAACGAAAAAAAAAATGCAGTTCGGGCAGCCGGTGCTTCTGGAAAACGTGGGCGAAGAACTGGACCCTTCGCTGGAGCCGCTGCTGCTCAAGCAGATCTTCAAGCAGGGCGGGTGCGATTGCATCCGGCTGGGAGATTCAACCGTGGAGTACAGCAAGACGTTCCGATTCTACATCACGACCAAGCTGAGGAACCCGCACTACCTACCTGAGATCAGCGTTAAGGTCACCCTGCTCAACTTTATGATTACCCCAGAAGGACTACAAGATCAGGTACGAGGGGTGGCCTTCGGTTTGGATGCCGGGCTAAAATGGTTTTAGGGTGTGACTTGTTGATGATGGCCGAAGATGTATATTTAAGCACTTCATTTCCTTCTAGTGGTATCGAATTTCACGTAGAGCAAATGGGTGCAGAGCACATTGAGCTGTTGCTGATATGAGCAAAGAAGGAAATGGGGTTACCTTCACTTCATCGAGCTCGGCGTGTCTTGTGGACAATATCGCCATGGTAAATCGTACGATTACGCGGAAGATATCTCCAAATTCCGTAAATATGACCCGACCCTACTTGCTCTGTAACGTTCCACTGAAAACTAGTTGCTCGGCATTGTGGTCGAGAACGAGCGGCCAGATCTGGAAGAGCAGAAGAACAAGCTTATCCTTGCGGGAGCGGAGAACAAGCGCACCCTTAAAGAGATTGAGGACAAGATCCTTCATATCCTATCGTCTTCGGAGGGGAACATCTTGGAAGACCAGACGGCCATCGAGACGTTATCCCAGTCAAAGGCGAGACACATCGCACGTTTGTTGCTAACCCCACAAGAGATTGAAGTGTTCGGCTTGTTGTCGGCTAATCCCACAAGAGACTGGAGTGCTTCTCTCTCAGTTTCCCGCGCACTCCACACTACTCCGTACGGTATGATGTGAGCCCATGCGCACCCCCCCTGATATATCCCCTTTTCAATTGTAGAACTCCCGAAAGGACAACACCTCTGCCAAACTCTCCCAATCGACGTCAAGGATACAATATGCCTCATGTGCTACACAAGTATTATTAATGCAATCAAACGCTCGGTGGGGAAACGGAAATGGACGATGCAGGACTTGTTCACGGGGAACGGTGATGCATGCTTTCCGGTCTACTCAAGCTTCATGCAGATATCAAGGATGTGGAGTATTGCCAACAGGTGGCCAAAGCGCATGTGTTACTCACATCCTACGTCGCTTCCCCCGCCCTTCCTAACGTGTGGGTCGGCCCTCAAACAACGGCATCAACGGTTGGGTCGAACAACCAGCAATATTTACCATGAAATGACCCGAGGTGGCGGAGCACGCCCACCGCTGACTTTATTTTTGCATTTGTCGCGCCTTCGTTGTTGCCCTGCCACAACGTCTTGCCGGCTCTCCTTTCGACAATGGTAGGTACTTTCCGATGACATCAAGGTGAAGCAAGTGGTCGCGGACAAAACGGAGAAGGACATCGATGAGGTGCGTGCTGCAACAGAGAGGAACTGCGGGATTCCCTCGGGTATTTCAGGGTTTCAACGGACGCACGTTCTTCACCTCCTACAATAGAAGCAGAAAATCTGTCCCCTGTAGAAGAAGTCTCGGGTTCATTCCCACCCCGATTCTTGTTGATATTGGAATACGTTGATTCGCATCCTCGTTCCAAGATTTCTCGTACAGTGTGTCTTCAACGATTGAGTTGTTCCCAACGGAGAGAAGGCAATACCCTCGCGGCTCTGCGTCCATTGCTCGCCGGTACTGTCGGCAACTTTTGCGAGAGGCTCGCCATATCCGGTTCGAGCTATTGTTTCACCTGCTGTCCGCACCGTGGTTTTCGGGTTGACGCTCAGTTTCGATTCACACTTTCATCGGTACTCCCCTCTCCGTTTCTCGGCCTCTTTTCTCGTACTGCAGGTTCGCCGGGGGTACACGCCGATCGCCTACTCCAGCCAGATCCTGTTTTTCTGCATCTCCGACCTGGCCAACATCGAGCCGGTGTACCAGTACAGCTTGACCTGGTTCATCAACCTCTTCGTGTCGAGCATACACAGGAGTGAAAAGAGCAGGGACATCCCCACACGTCTCGAGAAGTTGGACACGCACTTCACGTTCGCTTTGTACCAGGTGCCATTCCTCGACGGGAATTAGGGAACTCGTGGACACGGAGTGAATTCAAGCACTCCGCATTTTTTCATGAGCCCGGAAACGGCCAATTCTCCCTGTGAACACTTCGTTAATTTAAGATGTGGGGTGGCGGGAACAACTGGAAAACAAACAGTCTAGGAGATTGTATGTCTAGGAGAAGAGCGGGGTAATCAGGATATGGAAAACTCCGAACTGTTGAGGTACCAATCATATGAGGTACCAATTTTAACCTGCATAACGGACACCGGTTATTCCGGCACATTGTCCTAGGTGAGATTGGGCGAAAGTGTAGGCCTGGGGGTAGATTCGAGACGTGGATTCCCGAGAGCACTCCTCCTCGAAACGGAACGCCACCGGTTTAATTTCATCTACCAGCCCCGTTCTATTCTGACTCTCATACCTTATATACGCATGTTTTACAAGAGGAACATATCTATTGTACCATATTCCACTGGAAAAGAATCCCTGCGGCTTACGCTGCCCTCACACGACAAGAAGAGTACACCTAACCTTTCCGTGACGTTCTCTTCGGGTTCTTCCGCTTGATGTAGCCCTTCTCCAACAATGCGATTATGACATCATCTCGGTGCGGGTTGCGTTGCCTTCTAGAACGTGTGCCGGAGCCTTTTGGAGAAGGACAAGCTGCTGTTTGCATTCCTCCTGTGCACGCGAATAATGGGCGGCAAGGGGGAAGTCGACCAGGTGATACTCCTCTTGTTCGCCTCGCGTATACTCTGCAGAGCAAGGACAGCAAATTGACACGTGGGGAATGCTCATTCTGCCCGCCACGGCGAGTAGTTGTACCGCTGCTTGTTCGAAATTTGAAACAACTCTGGCCGCGTTCGGTCAAGTTCAATGGATGGGCTGCGGGGAAGTTGCAATGGCAAAGCATAGCACATTCTCGACGGAATGGCGTGAGAAATGTGAGCAGTGTATTTCCCGGCTTCTTGGATTCTGACCACGGTTTCCTACTCATTTGGCATCATGAATATGGCATCGTGCGCAACTCTCTTCGACCAACTGGCGATTTTCGCTGACTCCCCAAACGCCCCCCACTCATTTGTTTCGGCACATAATCCCGCACCTCATACCGTCGCAATGTATCGGACCTAATGACCACTGCAAACGGTGCTTAGGCGGAGTGGTTGTTCTTCCTGACCGGGGGTAATGGGCTCGACAATCCTCACGAAAACCCCTGTCCTGAGTGGTTGGAGAGCAAGAATTGGGACGCCTTGTGTCGCCTGGCCGAGCTACCCGCGTTTGACGTAAGTGCCGGTGTTTTTTGGTTGTTCAACACGTATGTTTTGTCCGGTCATTCGAATGATTTCAGGAAGATCTGTGAAAAAACGGGGAGAAATCGCAACGCCGGGTGCGGTTATGACACCGGCCCGGCCAACGTTTCACACTCGAAACATCCAACATGAATGATCTTGATACGTAGACCAACCAACCATGTAGTCATCTAAAAAATACACGCAGTGTAGCTTCCGCTTCAAAGGACTACTGTATTGGTTGGCCCGAAGACCTTGAGCTACGCCGAGCGTGGTGCACTTTCTCGATACATGCAAACTAGACACCACCTATAACTCTCGCTTTCGTTTGCCGGACGTCATAACAACGCGGTCACCAACTACAACGAACGAACGACAGGGCCTGCGGGACGAGTTCGAGTCCCAGCAAGATGGATGGAAAGCCGTATACGACGCAACAGATCCCGAACAGGAGCCGTTGCCTGGGCGGTGGGCGGCCGAGCTCACTGGAATTAGAGCACTTTGCACCTTGAGGTAGCCCTTCTTGTGCCGTGCCTTGGCGTGTGTTGTGCTTGCCTAGATCAAGTCGGTTCCAAGTTGCTCGATTACGGTATGATGACACCGATACCTTCATTCTGGCGGTACACCGTTCAGGAAGATACATGATATATTGGCTTCTCTTGGATCCAACAAGGCGATTCTCGACGTATGACGAGCCAATGCATTCCCCGCACTGATCCTCGTTAAAGATGTACACTCCTCTTACAAGCGTACACCCGCAAACGGTACCATCCCAAAGTCGGTGTGTGGTATCTTGTTTATTCATTGTACACACGCCTAACAAGACGTCTCGTTTACCCTTTCGACATTCGCACACCAAACAGGTGCATCCGTGCCGACAAGGTTGCAACGGGAGTGCAGAGCTTCGTGGTCTCAAAGATGGGGGAAAGATTCGTCAAGCCCCCGGTTTTCGACCTGAACGCGTGCTTCGACGACTCTTCTTGCGTCACCCCGCTAGTTTTCATCCTTAGCCCGGGTTCCGACCCAATGGGGGCCGTCCTCAAGGCCGCGGACGGGATGGGGGTGAAGGTGAATGAGCGAAGAACGCGCTTCAGCCCGTGCCGAACGCATGCTTCAAATTACTTATTACGTGGAACGGTTTGTGCGGGAAGCGGAGGGCAAGAAAACCACAGTTGACTATGATGTTCATTAATCTCATTTTTGAGCCGTTGACGGTGATGCCAAGCTACCCTTCGGCGTTGCCTCTCGAAGTGAATAACTCCGATTCGGCGCCACGCAGAACAATTCTTCTGCGGTGCATGTCTCTTTGGGGGATGGTTCCAACGGTCCATATGTCGCCCGTAACCTGATCAACACAACAGGTGTCCTACATCTCGCTGGGCCAGGGACAGGGCCCAGTTGCCGAAAGGATGATCGAGAAAGCCCAGGTAGAGGGGTCTTGGGTGGTGCTTCAGAACTGCCACCTCTGTCCCTCGTGGATGACGGCTCTCGAAAAGACGGTGAGTGTGGGCAATCGACCAGCGCGGTTCGGACGATACGTAGTCCACCAAGCATAGCCGTCACAACCGACCTACCACGAGTCGACGACCGGCCAATCCTACCCATCAAGTACGGCGTACGCCTCATACCCATCTCCCTAATGAAAAAACGTCAGATTGAGTGACTTTCGTCACCCGACCGTCCCCTCCGAAAGGATGCAAACATGCTTCCATCGCCATCTTCTATTGTGCCCACCAGGCTGGAACCGTTCATTTGGATGTGAAATCTGTGACAACGCCGCCACCCACAATTCTCGCTGGGACTTGACGCGAACATGCCTCTCCGCTGCCTTCCCTTACCGTCGTCTAGGCGGAAAGTCTGCACCCGGATGTGACGAACGCGGCATTCCGGTTGTGGTGCACGACATATCCCTCGGACGTGTTCCCTGTGTCGGTGCTGCAAAACGGCGTCAAGATGACCATCGAGGCGCCGAAAGGGCTACGGGCCAACCTCAAGGCATCTTACAGCTCCGACCCCATCTCGGATGACTCCTTCTTCGAGTCGTGCACCAAAGGTAATGCGAGTAGATTTGGTCACGATAAATAATTTCGAAGGCGCCACCCGGGGCACGGATATCCGTTCCAAAAAATCGACCCAACCAAGGTTGTTCGGTTTCGGGGTAGATCGATCACGGACTACATGTAGATCATACGATGAGCACCAGGCCGATGCAGCCCACTCCCGCAGCACCGGTTCTAATTCACAGAGAAAACCATATGTCTAGGCCTGAGCCTAACTCGAGTCGGATCGTCACGCAAACATCAAGGCACTGGCGACCGCAATGTGTTTACTGCCGCACGGCATACCCACCCGCGTTTGTGATTACTTGTGTGTAGCCTTGGGGTAGACTATATCGTGGTTGCTTCATTCTGCGCTTGTTGCTTCTCCAACGTCGTTACCTCTTCGTAGTTGTGGGTCGCGGCCGTCTGCGAACACCGCTTTTTCGCTCTGCCATTCTAGTGGTACCATCCAATGTTCTCCACGTGCTGTTCGCGGTGTTCGCACGAGGTGGTGGGTCCATCTCGGCTAGGTATTCCGCGCGTTAGTCCAGACAGCTGAATCGAACGATTTTTCGTCTGCAGAAGCTTCACGTCTCGGAAGGGGCTTGCGGTCCAATCAACCCTAACCACCATCGCCGCAGATCGTGTACCACTTACTACGTGCACCCATTCGCTGTTTGTTCTAAACAGGGCCCGAGTTTCGCAAGCTATTGTTCGGCCTGTGCTTCTTCCACGCGCTGGTTCAAGAGCGGAGGATGTACGGGCCGATCGGGTGGAACATCCCGTACGAGTTCAACGAGTCGGATCTCAGGATTTCGGTTCAGCAGCTTGCCATGTTCCTGAACGAGAACGCAAGGTAACGCGTGCACACACCAGCGCTATTGACCCGTGCAAGGATTGAGCCGTTTGACGAAGGTCGCGAATATTTTCACGGCACAAGACGTCTCCTCTGCTGGTGGTGTATCCACAATCAGGAAATTCGAAGGTTTTCTTTTTGCCCATCTAGCTGGTGGCCGAGCGAGCGTCTAGGAGGCTTGGAATGCCAACAAGTGCGGTGATTACCTCGCGACGTCGCTTGCGCTTCACACCAATAGCTAATCTTGTTGGAAGCAGAGGTTGGCGAATGATGGCAAGCACTATTCGCAAAGGACCAGAGTTCGCGGGCGAAACAGGTCAATTCCTCCTTGCGTCCTTTGTCGGCGCTGCTGATTATCGCGTGACCGAATGACGTTCCAACTTTGTTTGGCGCTTGTCTGGATAAAGTCTCCTTCGAAGAGCCTACCGGTGATCGTTGGGAGTAGCATGCGCTTGAAGACTACTTAACGCTGCAAATAACTAGTGTGAAATAAGACAGACATACGGTCGACTCCTACACAGCCACAGAACCAGCTAAGGCACCACCCTTTTCGTCAGAATTTGAAGAAACCTGAAAGAGAAATGAAAACGAAGACGAATCATTTTCAAATAAAACCAAAAGCGCGTAGAAGAAAAATGCTCACACCTACAAAGTCTATGTATTGGACGAGGGAGAGGGTTCAAACTCGCTGCCGTTTTCTGCAAGCCTTTCAGCAAGCCCGTGCCGCTGGTCCACTTGTCGGCCCCTTATTCAGAGTCCCGTTCAAGGCCCTAAATTACACTGCTGGGGAGTGCAACTACGGTGGAAGGGTCACCGACGACAAGGACAGGCGTACGCTGCATAGCATCCTTCACCGCATGTACCACAGCAACTTGCTCGAGGATGGTGGGTAAATATGTAGAAGTAACAAGTTCACCTTCAAGTTTTCATTGTCTGCGGTTTTTCCATTGTCTGGTGCTTGTCGTACTTCCATCCAACGTTGGCCGCTGCGTCACCCAGTTTTACCCTGCAAAGGAATTCGCTTTGGCTGCTTAACTTTACCAGCTATAGAGGGCGGTGGATGATTTCCTGCGTGTCTCTCAGAAATAAAGGCCACGACATGTGCCTGTTTTTGGGACACTAAACTTCAGCAATTCGATCCCTAGCAGGAAGTCCCCGTCAGCGGTATCGCATCGGCATCGAACCGCATTCTTCTCGCTGACACCTCTGTTTTCGGCATTGTCGCCTGCTTCTCGCCACGTCACAGGAGCGCTGTTGTCGTCAAGTGGGGACTATGTGATGCCCCCTGACGGCCCGCGTAAGACCTACCTGGAGTACATCGAGGTACATCGACCTTGTCTCCGCTTCATTTTGGCTGGAGGGCTGCTGCTACACGATTGATTGCTTCCTGAAGGCGCCCTCAACACCCCCGCCCAGAACCGCTCAGTTCAAGAGTGTCGATGTTTCTTACTCGCTCGAAATCGAACTTCCGCACAGAAACATCTCTTTCGCGCTGTACGCTGGAATGAAAAATAAATAATTGCCGCTGTGATCAGCTAGACGAGTGACATTCATCACAATCCACTCCCACTTAATGCCGACATCTTGACAGAGTCTACCACTAACGGCCGCGCCGGAAGTGTTCGGCCTCCACGACAACGCCTCAATCACGAGGGCGCAGAGTGACACGGCGCAGCTCCTCAAGTCCGTGCTGCTCACGGAGTCGAGCGGCGGAGGGTCCGGGGGTGCGGACAAGGAAATCACCATCAGCAACGTTGCCGCTGATATTCTTTCGAAGGTGGGATGCGGCTTAGCCTGCAAGTAGGAAGGACACTCACAGAAAAAACAACAGGCGGGACTGACAGGGCCTTGAGAACGGATAAGTAAATATGTGAGCTGTCAAGAACGCGTTGCCTCTAGGCCGCGTTTCCGGCAGAGTCAGAGTACATTACTCGTTGTGGACGAGTGAAAACGAAACAGGGGAATGACTCAATCGCATCGAGGGTGGCATTATTGTCGGCGAGATTCTGCGGGCGAGGAGCTGAGAGTTCCGCACGAACGGGCTGTCTGGCCACCCACCAAATCGGTGGGTGTATGAACGATCTACGAGTATGATCCATCCCACTGATCGACTCGTTCGGTCATAGCGTACGAATCTCTGGGTGTGGTATATCTGTACTGAAAAGGGGTAATTTCTTACTACCTGATGACGCAGTCAGATCGTCTGGGTCTTGGCACTACTGTGGTAAGCATTGATGGAAGCCTAGATTGCCGCGATCCTGGTCTTCTGAACTGCTGGTTTTCTCCGAACTGCACTCTAGGTCCCTGTCGAGTTCGACATGGAGGCCGCGCAGATCCGCTACCCGGTGAGATGGGACGAGAGCATGAACACCGTCCTTTGCCAGGAGCTGCAGCGATTTAACAACCTCACTGGCGCTGTCAAGTCGTCGCTCGTCAGCATCCAGAGGGCGGTCAAGGGGCTTGTCGTCATGAGCGCTGATCTAGAGGTGATGACACGGGTATTCTGGGGCGTGGTCTGTTCGTTGATGCTGATGTTGCCGCGACAACCACTTTTCTCTCTGGCGGCCACTGTTCCACTTTCGATTTGGCAGCTAACGGGGCTCATGGCAACAACGACGGGTAATTGATAAGTGGTGTGGTAGGAAGGAGGTAGCAGGATCTTGCGTCGTTGCACAAGACAGCAAGGACGAGGCAATTACTACAAGGTGTTGCTGTAAAGCATGCCGCACGTAGTACCATAGGCCAGATTCGATGTGCCAACGGCTTCGTCAGACACAACATGCACGAGGAGACCAAGAACAAAATCCGTTGTTATTATCATTGACCCTTTGCGAGGCATGGAGACTTGCGGTCGTCATCAACGTGAACTCAATGTATGATGCTCGCTGGTGCGTCGAAGCGATCCCCTCGTCATTATCTCTCGCACCGTGAACTCCACTACAGGTGCTGGGGAACGAGCTGTTTTTCGGGACGATCCCGACGATGTGGAAACCCACCAGCTATCCGTCGCGAAAATCCCTCGCCGGTTATGTGACGGATCTGTTGCAACGCCTCGCGTTCTTCGGGAAGTGAGTATACTCGCTGCATATTTGACGGAAAATCTCACTTGCTCTCCTAAGAAAGCCGGTTCGCCGTATCGTTTTCTTCAATAGTTTTGGCTATTATGCAGTATCTCGTGAAAGAGGCTTCCTGCAGCTTCTTTATCAACTTTTCGCGAAAAAGCAACAGTTTGGCGAGATTTGGTCAACCAGGTCAAGTGTTTCTGTGAGGGTCTGGGTTCTTCTTTCGTGTGGCCTTCGTGAGGAACACCTCGCCGGCACGACCCCCCTCAGCACAAGTCGACTGCGGCACCCGCATGCGTCTCTTCTCCCAAAAGTTCGCGACGATATCTATCTCCCTCGTATTCTCCAGCCCAGGAAAAGATGTTTCAGTCTTGGATTGCTGAACCCCTTCACTGGTTAATGCTTACAAGACAGGGACTTGGTCTCTGCACATGCTTACGTGCGACGCGTTCGTTGGTGCATTCCTACCATGTATGTTAATGTCTACGAGCGACACTCAACACTCAAACAATGTCCAATGATTTGCTAATTGCGGGGGCGCCACCTCCGATATCGTGTGCATGTTTCACGTTTGTGCCCACGAACGACCCAACGATAAAACACCGCTGGCGACGACAGCGACGCAATCAAGCAAGATAGCCTGCGACACACTCTTCCTTCGGACCCCGCACAAACAACCCCGAGATTCTCGAATCCGCACGCCTCGATTGCTACACAAGACCGTTGATTTCCATACGCATCTACCCCATTGCTCATCATCCCATTGCACGACGATTGAACGTGCGTTGGTTGAGTCACAGCCAGCAAACTATTCGATTTTCGGCAACCGTCCTCTCATTCCGCGCATTTCTTGTGTGGTGAAAGGTGGCTAAGGACCAAGCCACCACCGGTGTTCTGGGTGTCGAGCTTCTTTTTCACGCAAGCGTTCCTCACCGGGGCGAGCCAGAACTTCGCCCGCCGGTATACGATCCCCATCGACCATGTTGGCTTCTCCCAAGAATCAATGCCCAAGGTAACCGCTTCATGAGCCAAGACAAACTGTTTGAGAGCGTCTCCCCGGCTGCGATGTGGCAGGAACGATGTCGAGTTAGTTTACTCCGTGGATCAACCACCTGCTGCCGTCTTGTAGGTAAATATTGTAGAGTACGTTTTCGATATACTGTTGAACTACGTAGTCTAATCCGTAGACGCGCTGAGTTTCTACTGAAGAGACTTTCATTCGAAGGTGCCAGGAACGCACACACGGGTCGGTCAGGTGGCGGCCCGTATGTACGCTATCTTGAGTACGTTTCTCACCTAACCAGCCACGCTTCGCATGCCCAAAGTCACCCATTGGACTGTTCATGCCGGAGGAGTTTCAAGTCTGGCATGCAGAACCAGGCATGTTCTTCGTTATTGTTCACAGGAATACGAAGTCTTTCAAAAACGAGGCGTTCAACATCTTCGTCGTTGCGGTAAATGGAGGAGGTGCAACCACCAATTGATCGAGGGGAATCATGGCGGATTATTCTGTTTTCTCTATCGTCAGGACTCGTATGAGGAGGGCCCAGAAGACGGTGTATACGTGGACGGACTATTCCTGGAGGGTGCGAAATGGGACAAGAAAGAAATGCGCCTCGCCGAGTCTTCACCAAAGGCAAGATGTACAACCTACACTCCCTCTGCGGCTTCTCAGCCGCTAGAGGCTGATTGATACCCGAGCATTGTGACTCTTAGTTGTCGACGACACCTCACTACGTAGAGACATGATGAACCTCCGGAAGTTCTGCTTGCTGTATGCCCTTGACAACGCAAGCGCTACCTTTTGCAGTTTCAGACACGTCATACGCTCGTTGGTGCTGGGTACATATGTGAGGTGTGCTCTCAAGCCCTTGCCTCCCCCCCCTTTACACCACACAGGAGCCTTTCCCTGCTTGTTGAACATCTCGTTATTGTCTTGTCACTGTCTAACGTAAATGCACCAGTGTGCCTAAATATCGTCTGAAAGGTGCGGAGCGCGTTCTCTATTTATACGAGCTCCGCTAATATTCCTCCAGATAGAAGCTGGTGGCCGCGTACATAGGTGTCTGGTTGAAACCCCCCGCAATGCCCCGTCACCTAAACGTGGAGTTCATGGCCGCTTCAGCGAATGTATTGAGCGGGGGAGAAAGCTTCCATTCTCAGCAAAACTTGGAGTCGGCTTGCTCTACGTGCCCTTCTGCCCCTTGACCACAGGTGCTGTTCTCGAGCGCCCCGATCATATGGTTCAAGCCACAGCGAAAGTCAGACATCGTAGAAACCCCTTCGTACGCGTGCCCGGTGTACAAGACATCCGACCGCCGGGGGATCCTCAGCACGACGGGCCATTCGACGAACTTCATCTGCTTCATCGTGCTCGCTACTCACCTCGAGGAGTCACACTGGGTTCAGCGGGGCGTCGCCATGCTCACCACGTTGGATGATTGATGATTCGTTGGGTTTTCGGCGTCGTGAAACAATTAGCGTTACTCCTCTGCGTAGAAAGAGTACTTGGTTGGATTGGGTCCCTGGATGGATCGGAGACTCCACGGATGCATGGCCATTGTTTGCATTGCTGTTGTTGTTTCCGCAAATGGTTACGTTTCGAAGACGTTATTGTTCTTTACGCTGATGATGATGCCATTGTCGTGGTCGTTGCCGTTGGTGTTACCGTCGCTTTTCTTATGATGCTTCTTGTAGCGGTTGTTCCTGTTGTTTTGATTGCGAATCGCCATGCATGGTTGTTTTTCGCGGGGTAGTTCTCGTACGTATCGTACCAGGCCGGGCAGATTTGGCGTTCTTCCCCGTCTCGACCCGCACGTTGTTGTGTCGGGGTGGTGTGCAGTGTTCCAGCGCTCATGGCTTGAGGCGACAAGGCTCACGATGCTAAAGGCGTGGTGGGCCTGTTTCTTTGGCTTTGCTGTTTTGTATGTCATACTCCAAGTCTTTGGCGTCTGCCAAGTTCCCAACTGTACAGGAGGCTCGTGCGGTTACTTCGATGCTGCTCGTGAGCCGTGCATGCAGCGGCGGCAGTGAACCTCATGAAACCGAGATGATTTCTCCGCAGACGTACTTCGTAGTGAAAGTCGACGTTTACCGCTTCATCACTACTGTGTCGAAATTTCGATCAACTTTCACATCTCCCGGTGCCAAAGAGCTTGCGGTTAAGGGGTAGACCCTGGAGCCCGCCGCGCGTTGTCATCCCAGACGCGTGCGTCACAGTAGTACCCGATATATTGACCCAGCGAAGGCTTCCGCGGAAGACAGTCGATCACGAGCACAAAAACGAGGACATGGATCATTCGCCCATCACACAAGGCCTACCTCCTCAAAGTAATCTACAGGGTCAAGGAGGAAATATGATACGTCGTTTTTCACGCACAAAAAAAACACGTCGTGCCCCCTGGCTGTTCAGCCGTGACCCCTTCGCTTGATGCGATGGAAAGCGACCACTCGCATCGACTGCAACCTCTCCCTCCGAACGTACGTTTATGCAACGTCCCGTCCATTCATGCAACAACTGTCGACGGTAAGGGGGATATCACAGCAGTCAGTCGAGGCTCCCCTCGAAGTAGAACAAACGATGTCCGAGTGTCTGTACCTCCGTCAACTTCCCAAGCTCCCCATTGCTCGGCTCCGAAAAGAGTCTGCAAAGCCGAAAACAATAGGCGTCTCCGAGGACCTCACGACGTGGCATTTCCAACATAACGTGGTTCCGATATTCTCGACCGCACGACGTAGTATTTCCAAAATAAACTGTTTGCTTTTTCTGCGGCCTTGACACCGACCCCGAAGCTTTCCGCTCAAGTTACCCCTGCCCCCGCTGGTTTCGAGACACCGAGCGCTCTCAAAAACTAACGGGGTCGCACAAAGATATAGATAGACTACAAAGTTGGCAGAAAGAACGATTTCGTTGCGATGACACCACAGCAGTCAGGGCAACTTCACGCGCCAATTCGTGAAGCTAACAAAGCACGGACAGTTTTGGTTCGGCAAACGGCTAGTTGATCTTCAACCAGCTAGGCTTTCCGGTCCGCTTTCCCCCGCTGGAACCTCCGGCCTTGCCCCCTAGCCTGCTGCCGCCACCAGCAGATCCTCCCCCCGTCTTCGACTCTTCGGAGCCTTTCGCGCCGCCATCTAGCGCTACGCCAACGGGGCGTGCCGATGCCGCCGCCGCCGTCCCCGGTGTTGTGCCAGACAAAAGCTCTCGCTTGAGGTAGCCCCCTTCGGCCTCGCCTGCACAACACAAGGGGAAGGAAGCGAGGAGAGCGACAGAATCGATCGGGAAAGGGGGGGGTCAGCAAGACGGCAACCAATCTCTACTTCGCCTGAAAACAAGGAGCGAAAGAGAAAGCGAGTAAATACCTCCACCGCCACGAATCGGTCTTGTCAGAACGAAAGGGTGGAGGCATTCGCTCGGGCAGCACCTTACAGCCGCCCCCCGCTCCTAAGTCGGCATAAGGGAAGGCAACCGCACTTCTTTCCGTTCCGCGGGTCTTTTCACCAATCGCTGACGCGGGGCGGAGGCTGTTGCTGCACGGAGTTCATAGGTCGTACGGCTAAAAGCAGCCCAAGCGATCCTCTCCCCTCCGACGGCTGGGTTAAACGCCCGAACTTGAAAAAAAAAACGCATGGGCTGCAATTCGTTTCCGTTCCCGATGTAAATCTTGCAGTACGTGCACTTGACCGTCAGCCCGCAGAAGGGATGGACGATTTTCAAAGAATTCAATGAGGACAGAAAGGAGCCCGAGATATCACGGCTAGAGCAGGGACTAGAGATGCGTCATTCTGAAAAAAAAAAAGACTATTGCTCGAGCAGTAGGTCTTTCTTTGCCTGTGCCTTGCCTCTGTAGGAACGTTAAATGATGCGACCGAAGCCAACAAAGAACATTTTTCGTCGTCTTCCCTTCGTGTTCGACGCGCCAAACAGGAGTCCTGAAAAGAGGTGTTGGTCTTTGCGTGCACTCGAGACTACTGCGGTGAGGGACTCCAGACTACGGTGACGGGGGAGTCGAAAACACGTGACGGTGCGCGCGAACAAGACCCGGCCGGATTTCTGCCGCTACCACCAGTCCCAGAAGCATGGCACTGCCGGTACCAGCAGCGGCGTGTTCGCGAGCGAGAGAGAGGAGGCCGGTGATCATCGAGGCGGTGTGCACGCAGGGTGGAGGGAAACCACCGCCGGGGGCCGGGCGTGGAGGCGGGCGCTGGGAAGAGCAGCAGCAGCACCACACCGGTGGTGGCTGGCGGTGGCAGGAGCCGATCCCGCGACTTCTTCAAGGGCGTCGTCGTGGGGGTCGTGGGCCCGCGGGACGCCGCAGAAACGATGGTCGTTCAGAGATAGGCCCACGATATCCGCGTTCCGGGCAGGTACGCCCATGACGACTGCTACCACCAAAACTGTTACGGTGAGGGCTACTACGACGACCACTACGGCGCCGAGCACCGCGACGCCAGAAAAGTCCGCTTCGCCGGCCCATCGTGGGAGGGACGCAGCAATGGCTACTCATTTGCGTATGGGGGCGGGCGCTCGTCTGATGGCGGCACCCGCCACGTGCAATGCCCTCCGGACGGTGGAGAACCGTCCGCCGAGCAGCAGCGCCAGTTCCCTCCCCTGAACAGCATAGCTTCCTCCCCATCGTTTTCTCCTGGTGCGCCTCCATTCTCGGGCTACGTCCGCGCGATCGGTGCCACGAGGCACGTCTCGCTCCGGTGATTCTTTTGGTAGAGTAAGAGTGACGATTGGCGTTGAGTCTGCTTCTTCCTGGTAGAGCGTGAAGGGCCGCCAGGTATCGACAAGTGGGTAGCCGATTCGGCCGCGCGGAACAGCTTCGCGACCAGACGAGAACATATTTATGACCTCCAGGATATTTTTCCTACTGTTGTTGTAGGTCGTGGTCGTCTTCTCACCGTGCAGGCTATCGGTAGGTGGACCTTCGGTTCTTTCAACAAGATGAGGATCGCAATCCGACGAATCTTAGTGTGAAGTTGACTGACGTCTGTCGCAGTAACAGACACGTCAGTCAACTTCATACTAAGAGTCGTCGGGTTGTCATCGTCATCCCATTGAATGAATTCTACCGATGTCGGTCCAACAGGACGACTATGGCAGTCCGACGACTCTTCTCAGTCAAGCTGGCTTCATTTTCCTGGTGCAAAAGTGGTTCTGCAACAGGACAATGAAGCCGGAGTGACTGAGAAGAGTCGTCGGACTGCCATAGTCATCCTGTTGGATAGTCGCAGGCTGACGCAACCGATGATAGACTGCACGGTGATAAGACGACCACAATTCACCAACCACAAACTTCTTATCGGCGGCAATATCCTCGAGGTCATAATCCTCGCTCGTGTTGACTGTTCAAAGCAGACCAACGGTTTGTCCTACTCTAGACATCGGGGCGAGAGGCAGCCCCGAGCATGGACGCGCACCAGGCTGACGCTGCTGCTCAGAGGAAGAACCTTCGTCGGCCTCAGGATGCTTCACGTAGTGGGTGGCGTAGTCAGACGAGTGTCCGCCCTCTTACGCAGAGGAGTGGCCATAGCTTTCTCCCCCGCTCGGGCCGGCGAGGTGGGCGTATCCGGTGTCGCGATGCTCAGCGTCGTAGTAGCCGTAGTCTTGGTGGTAGCCGTCGGCAAATCCAATAGGCTACTCAGAGGCAACGCTGACTGAATATAATATTGGATTGGCCTTTATCGAATACCACAGAGAAAACAACAAAAACACATGTTACGGGATTTGAATCTTGTAAGAAAGTACCAACGGTAGTGCGGGTCTATGCCGTGGCGAGAGATGTAACTCCCAATTGAAGGATAAAGCAGGGGACAGGACCTTGGTAGCCCCTGTTAGAGGGAGCTCGTCTGCCCACACATGCTCAGTCTACCACAGAGAGCAAGGAATCAGCATGCACTACAATCCAAAAAGATGAACCAACAAATGAGTCTTTACCAGGGTCTGCAGAGAATGCTAAGCTTGTCCATACCATTACAAGGACTCTTTTTTCGCGACAGAGTAAAGTTAGCTCGAACCACAGGCTTTCCGTCGGTTTCGAAGAAACTTCTCCTCATCTCTCGGAAAAAAAATCATCAAGTCTTCTCGTACCTGTCGGGGGAACCTCTCTCCAGGAGACGTAGACCAGAGCGGCCGGTACGAGACCGGCGTCGGAGAGAGAGGAGGCGGCCTTCAGGACGACACGGGGAGGGCTCACGTACAGCTCGAACTGCAAGTTGATATTTGTTTGACAAACACGAAAGAGATGTTGACAGAAGGTAGCGGGGGCGTACTCGTATGTTTTGCATGCCTTAGCGGTTAGACCATTGACCACGCGTCCTAGAGAGGAAGGAGCATTGTTCCCACAGGACCGATCACCGATGGCCAATCGTTCCTTCCTACTTTGCCAAAGGTGGCTCAAAATGTCTTCCCTAGCCTATATATCCCACCGATATCAGGGGGGGGGTGTACTCATAGTCGTGCATGCCGTAGTCGTTAGACCATTGACCTCGCATCCCTACAAAGCCGGGACGGAGCACGCCGGGTTCTCACCGGACCAGGCTCTCACATCACCAAGCGCGAAGCGCCGTGAGATATTCGGCGAGTCGCATGAAGGGTGCGCTGCATCCTGCTAAGGGTGTTCGGCATCTTGTGCTTACTTCCTTGCCTACGGATGACAGCTGCCGTATGACTTGATTTACTTTCTGGTGCTTTCACTTCCTGAGACATTGTAAGCA